GCTGTGCGTATCACTTTATTCTTCTCACCACAATCTATTTTCAACTGCTTCTGGAGCATGTCTTACTAGAGTTGAAAAACTTGCATGGAAAGAGAAGCTATGTGTATAAAATAAAGCTACGTGTGTAAATAAAGATAAATCTATGTGTGTCCCCAAGAATTATTTCATGTATATATGTGTACAATTGTGTGTTCCATTATTTCGTGTATGTACAGTTTTTGACAGGAATCAAGATGCTTCTGAATCAGAAGACAGACCATTCATTGCTCATAGAACTCAGTATATGAGCTCCAACTCATACACCACCTCCTCTTTAAAATTTTCTCTTACCTGATGATTCCATAGCTATGTGAAACCTACAGATATTACTCCCTTTTCTGAACTTCTGTAACTTTGTTCATAATTTTTGAGACTTTTTTCTTGAAAAAATATGAAATGTTTCCTTTAAAATTTTCATTCTCCATAATATATTGCACTTACTTGATGTTCAGTAAATGGATAGTTAGTCAAAGAATCTATGAAAAAATGGATAAACCAGAAGATATATAATGTGATGTACATGTGGTCCCTCTTCCAGAAGAAATAAAATGTTAAACTTTCCACTACATCTAGATTCATGAGGTCAAAAACAGTTTAAAAATGCCATCCTGAGTTCTTAGGATAAGTAATGCCAACATTGCCTAAAAGACTAAAGTAATATTATTAAATATATCATAATTGAAAAAAATATTTTCTGACCTCATAAATTATGCATAACCCTTCTTACTCCACTGTCAGAATTCTCAGACATTAAGATATTTCCTCCCCTTCTGCAGTCTTCTAGCCTTGCATATGCACCTAGTTCTCTTCTATGTATAAAATATAAATTGTAAGAACTTATCAATGGAATTTTACCTGGCTACATAAAGGAAAGGAATCTGCCATTTGTGACAACCTAGATAAACCTGGAAGACATTATGTTAAGTGAAATAAACTGGACACATGAAAGGCAAATATATGATCTCACTTAAAGGTGAGATCTAAAAAAGTTGAACTCACATAAGCTGAGTAGGATGATGGTTGCCAGGGAATGGAGAGTGGAAAAAAATGGGGAGATGTTGGTCAAAGGATGCACATTTTCAGTTATAAGATGAATAAGTTCTGGGGATCTAATAATGTACAATACGGCAAGTATAGCCAATGGTACATTTTATATTCGAAATCTGCTAAGAAAGTAGATCTTAAGTATTCTCACCACACACACACAAACACAAACACACATGAAACAGTAACTATGGGAGGTGCTGGAGGGCTATCAGCTGGATTGTAGTAATCATTTTATAATATATATGTGTATCAAGGCATCACATATCTTAAATATATACAAATGTTGTCAATTATACTTCAATAGAACTTGAAAAAAATCAAATTGAAGGTAAAATTCATCTATCACAAAGAGAATTACCTTCTTTTTTCTATAATGATCCTTTGTTAAACATCTGTTGAGGCAAAACATCAAAAAGACATGGGGGAAAAACAGACATGACCACCAGTTGACCCATGAGCTGGATTCTGGCCCCCAGAGGTTCCTCACCCCCACCTCTGTCCCTCTGTCTTTGAAATATGGATTCCACTTGCCTTTCCTACTCCCAGCTACTACTCCAAGGATGTTGCCTTGAGATAGGGATGTGGCATTGAAAATACCTCCATGATATATGTGACTAAATACAGTTAAGGCCTCTTTATCAATTTTGAGATTTGGTAGGTGAGCGCAGGGATACATTCATCTTGCTGCTGTTCAAAACAAGCCTCCCAGGCAAGTTTCTGGTACTTAGGAAAGCTGCCATCTGCCAACCTGGAGTGGCTTGTCTCTTTATTCCATCTCTCCCTGCCTTCCTTGTATGTTTTAGAAGACCACCAGGGAAGCTCCTGAAAGGGTTGTGACCCAACAACATCTCAAAGACCATCATCTCTGCTACCTTGCTCACCATGGCGAGCCAGTGCTGATATAGCACCAAGAATAAAAGTCACTGCTCAATAAATCCCTGTCAAATTAGGCGTGAGGCTTAAGAATGATGTTCTGATAAAAGAAAGTTTCTTACAGACTGATCTGTTATCAGTTCAATTCAGCATTTCAAGGGATCCAATCGCTCTTTCAGGACATTGTGTGACCTCCTACTTCGGAGTTAGGGAAGCAGGAAGTGGCAGGTGGGTTAGACTCCAGGTGATGGCTGGAGCTGTTGGAGAAGCATTTTGTCCTCATTGATTCTTCACTGTGTCCTTCTCAGTGTCTAGAAAGTGCTCTGGCTCAGAAGCTCCTTATTTCTGCCCCCCTCACATGCTACTGTGGTTTCTACTCTAGAATTCATGGCTTTGGCCACCTCTGCTCAGCGTCACTTTTTCATATGAAACTGAGCGAGATAGTGACTTGGTCCCCAGTATCCAAAAGAGCTACAAAGAGTTCCATATCTCCCTGCCTTTGGAGTTCCTCAGCATATGTAGGGCCCTCGGTTCTATTAAGGAGAAGGAGACTTAGGCCGCACCTCGAACCCTTGGAGCAGCTGAGGTCTGCAGAGAGGAAGCAGAGGATTGCAGGGCTGCAGGGTATGTGTCTCCAAATCAGAAAGAAGTCATATTTGTTTTCAAGGTGGTAGGACACTCATAGTTTTCAAGCCACTTACAGCTCTCCATTAGCTTTTGAATTACTTGACCTGTTTCCCTACCTGGAAAAAAAGTATATAACCAAAAAACGACAAAAACAAAAGCAAACACCTCCATTGGCTTTTGATGTTGTGGTCAATATAAATCCTCATACCAGCTCTTGGGACTCCATGACCCATTCTCCAGCCTGGGGAAGAACACAAATAATGAACTTCTAATATTTTCTTTCTGCACAAAACCAACACTAACTTGAGTATCTGTAGACATGTTATTGCTCCACTCGGAAACAAAACCAAAAGTCTCACTTAGGCTACATGTTTCAACCACCTCCAACCACTTTCTTAAAAGGAAAAAAAAGTAGTCTTGTATACTTCCCAGTTGACCATATGGTTTGGCCACTATGTCCACTATGCCCATCAACTCTCTGTCCCGTACAGAATATCTTCCTTAGATCCAAGAATCATTTCATATGTATATGTGTAGTTGTGTACTTTAGTACCTCATGTATTTACAATTTTCGGCAGGAAGCAAGGTGCTTCTGGATCAGAAAACAGACATTAGTTACTCATAGAACATCTTGGTGCCAGAGCCTCATGCCCTAATTTCCACGGGCTGTTGCAATGAGGGCCAGGTGTTCACCTCAGCACGCAGTGAGGTTGAACCACAGGAGAGGAATGTTGAAATTCTCAGACTTGGAACTGAGAGAGAGCAGCTGGCCTATCAGCCCGACGTTCTCTATGCTCACGCATGCAACTGGGAGAAAGAGAAGCCCCGCCTTTACATTGGAGGGAAGGCAGAGGGTGAGGTGAAATAAGGTAAAAGTCTTCTACTACATATTCAAATTCCTTGCATTCATTAAAGATTAATTTTTTACAGTAATCCTTTGTTCAGCATCTCAAGGACAAGCATCTCTCCTGTTTTGCTCACCGTGGCAGAGCAGGGGTGATGCAGCACCAGCAATGGGGACACTGCTCAATCAATATCTGTTGAATGAAGTCTGATGTTTGGGATTAATTATCTGATAAAGAGTTCCCTGTCAACTCACTGTGGTTATAATAAACACGCAGCACATGCGTGAAGAGAAGGGCTGGGCCTGCATGAGGCCATGACCGGCATCTTCCCAATCATGGCCCATGATTCAGGTCACAGTGCAGGGGCTCTGAAAGGACGTCTCCTGTGCCTCACTCCTGAATCCTCTTGGCCTCCCTTCCGACTGTGGCTGCTGCTGCAAGGACAGTTCCACGTGGAGCTCTAACCTGCTTCATGCAGGTGCAATGTACAGTTTAGCTTCAGTATCTGCTTTTCCTTTGTATCTACCACCCTGGGCTTCTGTACACTGCTGTGACCTGAGGCACTTGCAAGAGTCCACTTGGCACACAGGTCTGTGTAACCTGAATTGCAAGAGAATTCCCAACCATTGAGTCACCTTTGACAAGTGAATGATAAGCACAGATGTTTTTCTGGGGTGCCTGGGTGGCTCAGTTGGTTAAGCATCTGACCCTGACTTAGGTCATGATAGCAGGGCCCTGGAATCCAGCTTAGTGGTAATCTGCACTTAGTGGGGAGTCCATTTGTCCCTATCCCTTTGCTCTGTCCCCCCCACTTGTACTCTTTCTCCTTTTCTCAAATAAATAAATAAAATATTTTTTAAAAAAGAACAAATGCTTCACAATTCCATCCCCTAAAGCCAGTGGTTCTTTCAAGATAGTGTTCCTGGTTAGTTCCTAGACAACATAAAATGCCCCATAAACTTAGTGGAGGTAAACTGATAGTCTCTCCTTATATTCACTTTTACTCCTTTCTTTCTTTTTTTCTCCCTCTTTTACTTTACTCTATAACCACAAATCAAATGTCTGCACACAAGCCTTTGGCTCAGATCCTGCTTATGTGGAATTCGAATTAACATGTCTGACATACAAGTCTAGACTAACACATGGACTAAAATTTCAAAGAGATCTGGTAAAGTCCCATATAACACTAAAATTTCTTACAAATTCTATCTAAAATTGCTTGTTTAACCATTTATATGGCTGAAATCTCACTAATTAGATATTAAATTGGATAAATAGCTGACCTTTAAAATTAAAGTAACTCCAGGAAATACATACAATTTATTATTATAATTAATATGAGAGACAGATCAGAAGATAGAGACAAAAATAAGTTTAGGAAGAAATCCAGTCTTACTAAAAGTTCTAGAGGCTGATACATTATCAACTATTTTAATTTGGGAGTTGATTAACAAGGGAGGTGCCCTAACCTCTTTGGTAAGGCATTTGTTTATCTCCACCTTCCTACTGCCAAGGAAGGGAATTTAAAGAGTTGATTAGTCAAGGTGCAAAAAAACAAAACAGCTTCCTCCTCCACTTCCCAATAGACATCTTGCCATAATCTCAATCTCCAGGCTAAACACCATGGCTTTCAATATTTTCTGGGCCTGTGTAATAATTGGTTGTATTTTTGCTTCCATAGCAAAAGCATCTAATATCTCAGATGTGTATCCCCCTCTCTGGAAGGAGAGTCCTGGTCAGTTCAGTGACTACAAGATAGAAAATGGAAAGTATATCATCAACTTCTGGCATTACCCTGAGAGACTGGGGACGTATAAAATCCTACTGAACAAGACAGCCAAGTATTTTGCAAAATTTTCACCAGAAAATGAACAAAATATTTTATGGGGACTGCCTGTACATCATGGATGGCAATATCATACAGGTAAGAATGTCTCTTTTTCATTACAATGATCCTTTGATTTAAGTGTGAACTTATTAGGAAGTAGTATCTGCACATTTAGCATCATCTTTTTGAAAATTGATTCTTTCTCTCTTTCCTACTGCTTTTCCACTGTTTGCATTCTTGCCAAATCCTTATCAAGTATTTATGGAATACCCCCCTGCATGCATGGCTTTGTTACACAGAAATGTCCAAAAGAACTGTGTGCAATGATGAACTTGTCCTATACTCAGTACGATAGTAACAGCCATACTGTGCTCTCATATTCTTACGTATTGTTAGTGAGCAGTTGAAATGGCTAATGCTGGATGCCTGGATGGCTCAGCAATTGAGAGTCTGTCTTTGGCTCAGGGCATGATCCCAGAGTATCCCAGGATCAATTCCCACATTGGGCTCCCTGCATGGAGCCTGCTTCTCCCTCTGCCTGTGTCTCTGCCTCTCTCTCTCTCTCTCTCTGTCTCTCTCTCTCTGTGTGTGTCTCATGAATAAATAAATAAAGTCTTTAAAAGAAAAAAAGAAATGGCTAATGCTTTTGCAGAACTAAATTCTTAATTTTGTTTTAATTTCAACTAACTTACATTTTAATAGCCACAAATGGCTCGTGATTACCACATTTACCGAGGCACAGCATATTAGACCTAGTTCATTCACTATCAATAACTATTAACTGATGTGCTATTGGTACCAAACCTTGCCTTATAAGCAAGGAAGTGTACATCCAGGAACAAAACAGTTAAGGTGATATACATTAAATACACATGGGTGTATAAAATTAATTTGCATTATCTATAGTTCTAAACATGATTGGACTGCAGTCATATAGATTGGAGTGAAAAAGGAGAAGAAAAACCTCTGTTTTCCCTACCGAAAATAGCATCTACACTGAGGAATGAAAGCAAATATGTTTTGGAACAAAAATATTGAAAGTGCCAAGGTATCTTTTTTAATGGGTTTCAAGAAATAAGGGACCTTCACTATCAATGTCAAGAAAACAGTATTGGAAGAAAGGAATCAGTGAGAAAATTGGTAGCATTATAGAAAAGACAGAAGAAGAGACTGAAGCTCTGGACTGTGATGACATTCCAAGCAGATGTTACAACCAAGCTTGTCAGGGAATTTCCCAGCATCCAGTATAATTTCCATTCTTAGACTGTCCGTGGCATGGAAAAGAATATTTGAACCCCTGAGACATGGTTCTGGAGGACCCCAAACATAAATTCCACTGGAAACAATAACCAACTTCCCCAAGGGGTCACACACCTACTTCTTTTTTTTTAATTTTTATTTATTTATGATAGTCACACACACACACAGAGAGAGAGAGAGAGAGAGAGAGGCAGAGACACAGGCAGAGGGAGAAGCAGGATCCATGCACCGGGAGCCTGACGTGGGATTTGATCCCGGGTCTCCAGGATCACGCCCTGGGCCAAAGGCAGGCACCAAACCTTCTGCGCCACCCAGGGATCCACACACACCTACTTCTAGGAAAATTTTCAGCCTTGGGTCCAGTCATGAATGAACAGCAAAGTAGAATATTGGACAAGGTACTTTCAAAATTTCACTTCCATTCTAGAATACAATAAATGGGATTCTGTTGTTTCTTAAGTGGCTGATTTTATTTAGTATTTCATTGAGTTGAACTCCATAATATAACTAGAGAAAATCAATACAGAATTACAAATTATGAAAGTAACCCATAAAAGTATTTCACCAGTAGTATGCTAAGTCTCTCAAAGATGAGGTAAGGACTGTAAATACAAGAGTAGTTCAGGAAAGAGAGTGACAACCATGGGCTGAGCGTATCATGAAGAAAGTAGAGGAAAAGAACTTGATGGAGTCATTGCTAGAATGTAATTGCTAGAATACAAATTACAAAAATGGCAATGATAGCAAGTTGTACCAGACGAAAACTACCATATTGACAGGAGAACCCGGATGTGAAAGAGCAGTGGGTGGAAACTTTAAGATCAACTAGGATCTTTTGAAGAGATGTCTTTAAAGTTGGGCTAGGGAGTTTTAATTGGGCCCTTAAGCAACATGGTTTAGTTTAAGAACAAGTGTCTAATGCTCACAAAATACTTAAACACTAAATGTTTGCTACTAGATTGTCTAGCAGAGGTTTTTTTTAATCATTTTATTTGTATATAATAAACATACAATAAACAGCACATTTAAAAATGTATTTTTGGTAAGTTTGATATATGTACATAACCTTGAAGTCATCACCACAGATAATGGACATACATGTCATTCTACAAATTCTCTTTTCTCCTTTGTATTCTCATCTTCATGAACTTCCCTGTGTCTGATCACTCCCAGTCCTCCCCACTCCCCTAACTTCTCATGCCCTTCACTCTCCAACTTTACCAGTAACCACTGATCCACTTTCTATCACTGCAGATTAGACTGCATTATCTAGAATTTCCATATAGAGAGTTGGGTGCTCTCTTTTTAGTCTGGTTTATCTCAGTTGTCATGATTATTTTGAGATTCATCTATCTAGTTGCAGATGTTAATATTAATTCATTTTTATTGGCTAGCCAAAATTTTAATTAGAATAATGTTTGAGGGCACCTGGGTGGCTTAGTCAGTTAAGTGTTTGCCTTCATCTCAGGTCATGATCCAGGTGTCCTGAGATCGAGCCCCTCGTCAGGCTCCCCACTCCGTGGGGCGTGCGCTTCTCCTTCTCCCTCTGCCCCTCCCCACCCCTGCTCTCTTGCTCTGCTCTCTCTCTCTCTCTCTAAATTATATATATTTATATTTTTTAAAAGGAATAATGTTTGAACTGAATGAAAATACTGGGAGTCTGAAGCAGGATAAGGAAGCAACACCAAAGAGAAACATAGATTTAAAAATGGAAGATTGTGGCAAGCGTATAAGAAATTGATAGTACATGTCATTGCCTTCCCTTGAAGGGTTTGCAACATGGTTAAGAAGGAGAATTAGAGGGACCCCCGGGTGGCTCAGCGATTAAGCACCTACCTTCAGCCCAGGGTGCGATCCTGGAGGCCTGGAATCGAGTCCCAAGTCAGGCTCCCTGCAGGGAGCCTGCTTCTCCATCTGCCTGTGTCTCTGCCTCTCTCTGTGTGTCTCTCATGATTAAATAAATAAAATCTTTTTTAAAAATGAGAATTAGAAATGATACAACCATAAGACAAAAAAAGAGCTGAATCCTAAGACACTAGAATAAAGTGAATGTTGTAAACTGGAATAATCTGGGAATAGAGTAACATTTAGAGTTAATCTTGAAAGAAAAGGCAGAGTGTTGATGGGCTTTTTCAAAAAGTAATCCAAGAAGAAAGATAGAGAGTGAACTAAAGGACAGAGTTTAACATTAGTTTGGCATTTGAGAGAGAAAAAGACAAAAAGAGATAGAAATGTTGGGAGGACAGGATATATACATTATATGCTGCAGAAATAATATAATTGGAAAATATGGTAAATTCTCAGGAAAAAAATTTTTGATTTTAATAGTGACAAACATAACATTATTTTTTTCTGGAAAAACAAGTGTGACAGAAAACAATTTTGGTCAACGTTATTGAGGGTGAGGTATTTCTTGCTATGGGAAGGCAAGGAAAAACATTTCCTTAGAACATAAAACAGCAGTAAGCAGGTGCAGCTTGGCTGTAAAGAAGGAGAAAGTGCTGAAGATGTCCGGAACAGTAGTGAAACTCCTCTGACAAATAACAGAAAGTTCGTGATGCAATGTTCCTTGACTGTCAAGATCAAGGGCTTGGTCCCAAGCACACACACTTGGGGGTGACGTGGAGTCACTAATAAAGGAGTTCTGTGGGAATTTGACAAGAATGGAACTGGAGCACAGCGGAATATTTGGAGTGGAAGACAAGAAAGTTGGCAACATAAAGAAATCCTTAGATTAGCATCATGGGTGAATGTTCTCAGAGACTGAGTGGTTTTAAAAGGACAGAGAGTCTTAGAAACAGATGTAAAACAACTTCCAACTGAGGCAAAAACCTAAGAACCAAGAGAGAGGCATGTTTCACATACTTGAGTATTATTCCAGTTCAGACAAGGAGTAACAATCTTGAGAAATTTCCATGCATTAGCACAACTACCCAGGTCTTTCCTCTTGCCCCCCAAAGGGTAAGCAGGTCAAGAAAAGCTGAATGAGAGACTAGAATGAGGATGTAAGAGGGAAACAGAAGAGGTTCATGGGAAACACAGAACTGGTGAAAATAAATAACACAGCGAATGTAGGGGAAGGGAACGAGAAAGAAGAAAATATGAATGTTACAGGAAAAGAGCATTGGAAGAAAAGAAAGAGAGGCACCTAATAGGTGAGCAAGGACTGGGCAAGAGAGAAGCTGGAGTGGCAAGTGAAGAACCTAAATAAACAGTGTGAGGGGGAAGCCGGAGAAAAGAGAAAGTTAGCAGGAGTAAAGAGAATAAGCCAGTGTGAAAATGGTGGAAATGGGGCACTAGACGGGCATAGAGCCAGAGACAGCTGAAGGGATATGCGGGGAGTATATGCAGACGGTACAGAAAAATCAAAAAGAAAGAAACAGAAAGGGTTGTTTTAAAAGTAGGAGATAAGAGGGGATGACAAAAAAATATATGAAAATAGAATAATGGCTAATATTTACAGAAGCACATGTTCTCTGAGCTGAACACTTTTTGCGCCCTTCTTCACTGAGCAACCCAGAGCCTCTCTGAAGTTATTATTACTAGTCTCTCCAGTGTGTATATGATAAAATTGAGGCAGGCCTATGTTATTTATCCAGGGTCAAGCAGTAAGTAGGTAAGCAATGAAAAAGGATGTGCTTTTAAGCAAATAGAGCCTGGATCTTGTTTACTATGTATGAATATTCACTCATTGATATTGAAGACAAGGAGTAGTTAGTAATAGAAGACACGCAGACTACAGAGGTTGAAAACACAGGGCCTACGAGAGAGAATAGATCATTGTAGGGATATGAAGGAAAAGGAAAAAATATGAATGGGAGATGGGAAGCAGAAAGTCACGAAGTGAAAGAAAGACAATGATGGGAAGGCTGACAAAATTCTTTATGCCTATACACATAATGTACCGAGTTCCATTTTGTACCTACAGCTTAGAAAGGGGCCTAGTGAACCCGACTCTGGATTTCCTCTCTTTTAGGCAGATTAGCTGATCCTACCCAACATACAGACTGTGGCCATAAGTCTGGAGATCGCCTCTGTATCTCTGTGGACAGTTGGTGGGCTGGTGAGTTCACTGTGACCATCAAACCTCAAATTGATGATCTTTCCACAAAAAAATCAATTTAACCTGGGATCCCAATTAGGAAAATCCAGGATCATTGCTTTTACAAAAAACATTTGTTTGCCCCAAATCTGGGTGTTTTGAAATGGGTTTTGAGATAGATATTTTTTAAATTTACTGATTAGTTTATCCAATTACAAAAATATCAACTAGGGAAAGTTAGTCACCTCAAAACTTAATTTAAATACATAAGACCGAAATAAGAATTTGTGTTATATTATCAGATGAAAACCTTGTTAACAAGAGAAATACTTAGATTAAATATTACAATATTTTAAAGCTGCATCAGATTTTCAGACTTAGAATAAAAACTTAGGAAAGTACAGAATTCTGTTACTATTTTTTGGTTTCAAGTTTTTAAACTCTAGTTAGTTAATTTTATTACTAATTTCTAAACTTTTCACTTACTATGCCTTAGAATTTAATTAGCATTTTGGAATTCCAGTGCAATGATTATCTTCCCTGGAATAAATAAATAATAAGTCTACAAGATTCCATTTTGCTTTATGAGAGTAGAATTTTTAAGAGAAGCATATTCAAGTTGCATATAAAATTTCCAAAGCTCCCTAAATTGCTAAAGTTTTACCACATTTCTAGATCTTTAGGTTTACTTTTATGATAGATATCTTTATTTTGAAAACAACATTATTTACATGTTAACACTATTAATAACTTTTTATTTATACAGACCTTAATTATTATCTCTCTGCATTGCCCTTCCTTGCTGCGGTTGATTCTGGCATAATGGGGATATCATCAGACAATGTCACCTTTCTGCCACCATCCAAGGATCAGATGAATTTTTGTTACAATGTTTCTAGCTGTCATTCATCATTTCCAGAAGCAATGAAAAAGTGGAATGAATTTTACCAGGTTGTTTTTTTTTTACTATTTTAATTAATACTCTTCAAGGGTAACCAGATAATTTTTGAAGAGCACTTAATATAGATATTTTTTTTATGCGTTGAGCAATGTGTTCCTAAGGAACAAAGTTCCCAATTGAAAATATTGTGGTGACAACAGTATTAGTATGATTGGATTGCTGTATGACATCATACCTTATTGGCATCCTCTTTACTAATAGTGTATCAAGGCCACAGTATCTACTATCCTCATTCCAAATAAATTCTATACACACACATGAGCCCAGAGAAACTATGACTTCACAGTGCATGAAGTATCCTAGTTCATCATAATTTTAGGCCACCTGAGCAATAATTGATATAGAAATACAATTGTGTAATAGGTTGTAGTCAATTTGATCAGTTTATTTCAACTGTCTTGATAAATCACATGAGTTGACTGAATGAGCGCTTGACAGTTGGAATCTAATATTGATGTCCACAGTAAGGTGTCATGGGTGAAGAGTACATGACCAAAGACTGGGTTTCCCTTTAGAGAACATTTCTCATCATATTTGCATATTATTAAATAAAACACTCTTAACCTTAACACTTGGTGGAAAGTTCATTACATGGCAAGAGAAAAAAACATACATAAAATACTAAAGGCCTGGTTCTGAACAGTGCAAAATCCTGAACATTTCTAAAACACTTGGTTTATTTCTTTCATATGAACTCAGTATCACTAGTAATTAAAATACCTGAAATCAAGCTCTGTAGAGAGTGTTAAGCACTAAATATTTCACAAAGTCTTAGAAAAAAAAAAGTTCTCCCCTCAATTAGAATGTTGAAAAATTGTGTTTGTAAATTGAATTTATTTTCAAGGAGATTGTTATAATTGCCTAAATATCAGTAACATTGTTTGTCTTGGACAGCATGTAAAGTCACATTCTAGTAGCTTTGATGAACTGTTGGAGTACTTATGGGCTGCACATGTCTCATCTTTGAAGGTTGCTCGTAAAATTTTTCAGAATAGGTAAGAATGGATCTAAAGTTGTTTTGTTTGGGGGCACTTGGTGGTTCAGTTGGTTAAGCACCTGACTCTTGATTTTGACTCCGGTCAGGATTTCAGGGTCATGAGATCAAACCCTGTGTTGGGCCCCATGGTGAGCATGGAGCTTACTTGAGACTCTCTCTCTCTCTCTCCCTCTGCCCCTCCTCCCGCTCACAGTCTCTCTCTCTCTAAAAATAAAATAAAATAATTAAGTTGAAATGTGTTTAGCAATCTTTCCATCTTATACTATATTTTTCATTGAAATCTTTTTTTAACTTACCTATTCACCAATATGTCAAACATGGGGAAGTATTATGACAAAGAGAAAACTGACAGGAAATGTTTTACTAGATAAAGCTCAAAACTATGTCACAAGTAGCAGAGGAAAATATGAAAAAAAGTACATTTGTACCACAAAACAGCAATAAAACAAAATGAATTCTGAAGTACAAGAGGATTTTTTAAAGCTTTTTTAACACAAAATGGTGTCTGTAAACAAAATGGATGTGATGGCAAACCCAATTATAGAACCTCTGCATTACTTCAATCAGAAAAAAATAGCATGGTTGACACCAATCTGGAGGCAAGCATCCAAGAAGCATCTTGGTTACCATGCCATATAGCCAAAATGTCAGAACTCTGCCCATTTTATAGCAAACGAGTTTGAATGAGTATGGCTTGGTATGGAAGCAAATGACACTACATTGGGGGTGGTACCTGCCACCCAGAGTGAGACATGGTGTAGAAAGAAGTCAAGAATGGGTGACTGATTTGAAGTACACATAAAAATACAAGCACTCATGTTGGAGGACTTCTTGTTGACCACGTATTATTATCCTTCCCACTGATCCCATGTCCAGTGAAGATAAATCGGTCAGGAAACTTACATTGCTTGGCATATTTTATTTCTTAATATTACTTCAAAGGCTGATTTTTACTGGTCAAAGGAAGAGTTCATCCTCTTAGCATGTCTATGAGAAGAATTAAGTTTGTACCCATCATAATATCATTTTGTTGTGACTCAGCTGCTTGATTCTGATCACTCCCAAGGGGAAGAGAGATTATTAATCAACAAAGTAAACAGGAGTTGTCAACATCAAAACTGAAATTGAGATCAAGTCATTATACTTCATAGAAAGTAGTTTATAAAATATTATTTTGTAGACTTTTCCAAATACATGCAAAACTAAATTCTTCTAGAAAAATAGCATTTTTCATAGCAACCCTCAAAGGATGATGAGATCAGCCCTCAATATTGGAAATTGAACAACAAAGCTGAATTTATTACAATTCTAGGAAGGGACAGCTACACTGTCATGCACAGTATCACTGAGCAGAGCATTCTTCTCATCTTGAGATGTGTTATTAGGAGATACTGAGTTCTTAGGGATTTGAGTGGGTTGAGTAATCAGTATAAGAGGGTTACACAGGTGAGATAGCCATCAATTGGCATTAGAGGCATGTTTATGGAGAAGTCCATTCCTGACTGGCTGACTTTCAGAAATGAGGGCATGTCACTTACTGGATGCTTGCAAAAACTTGGTCACTGAAGCAAGTTTTTGTTGATGGATTGAAGTCAATCTGAAAACAGTTTGGTGGCTACTTGTTACTATGTCTACAAAGTATTTGTCTTTTTCTAAGACCCACCAACATGAACGGAACTGAGGGTATACCCAGGCAAGAACTGAAGAACCGAGAGGACTGCAATGTCTCACCTCTGGTTACCCCAAGGTCCTGAATAAATAGGAAGTAAGGGCTTAGGCAGGGTTGTAAAAGGCCTCAGCATTGAAGGTATACTGCTATACCTACACAGAGCCCCTTAGCAAAAGGTGGAAGACTTACTGGTTGAAGGAACTTAAGAAAATCATTAATAAAAAGAAAAAAAGAAAAAAAAAGAAAATCATTAATCATTAGCTGACCATTAAACTTCTGAGCAGGGACTTCAGTGATGACTCACTGCGGAGAACACAGAATGAATAACTGAATTGGTCCAGGCAAAGCAATAAACAAATAATGACAAGAAAACCAAAGAGCAACAAACCCTGGTATGGATGGGAATCTGATTTTAATACTTTCTACTTTATAGTGTCTGAACTGTCCAAGTGTCCAAAAAGAGAGAGAGAGACATGCAAAGAACCAGGAAGGTAGTGCATGCATGCCTCTCCACCACACACACACACTTAGACAGAGATAATTAGTCAATAGGAATTGTTCCTCTGAGCTCAAATGACGGACAAAATTTTTTAATCACTACTTATGAGCATGTTTAAAAAAGTAAAGAAACCATATCTAAAGATTTAAGAGAAGTATGACAACAATGTTTTACTAAGTAAAGATTATGAATAGGGCAGCCCAGGTGGCTCAGCAGTTTAGCACCGCCTTGGGCCCAAGGCCTGATCCTGGAGACCTGGGATCGAGTCCCACGTCAGGCTCCCTGCAGGAGCCTGCTTCTCCCTCTGCCTGTGTCTCTGCCTCTCTCTCCCTCTCTCTGTGTCTCTCATGAATGAATAAATAAAATCTTTTTTAAAAATTTAAAAAAGATTATGAATAGAGTTAGAATGTATAGAAAAATAGAAATTCTGCAGTTGAAAATTATAATAGCAAAAATGAGTAATTTGCTTGATGGATTCAAAAGCAGATTTAAGCTGGCAGAAAAAAGGATCAGTAAATTTTAATATAGGTAAATTGAGATTACCCAGTGTGAGAAACAAAAAGAAAAAAGGATGAAGAAAGATTACCAGAGCTTGGCAGACCTGCAGGAGAGTAGGAATGGAACTATATTGTGGCAAACTTTTATGTAAATGGTTACAATAAATTACTGTCAATATGAACTACATTGTTTTAAGAGACATAGTAATTGTAATCTTATCAGTGAAGAGGAAGAGCTAAGAAATTAATATTTAGATAGATTAAAGAGAGAGGTGATAGAAAAAAAGCCCAGGGAATAAATCTTTACACTAGAAAATATCCATTTAGCACAAAAGAAGGCAGTAATGAAGAAAAAGAGAACAAATACATAAGACATAAGAATAGATAGCAAATTGGCAATATTACTCTGACAACAAAACCAAAGGCATTACACAAAAACTACATGCCAACATTTCTTATGGATACAATGCAAAAATCCTTAATTTAATGCCAGTAAACAGAATCCAGCAACATATAAAAAGGGATCATAAACTGTGATGATACAGGATTTATTCTAAGAATGCAAGGTTGGTTTAGTATCAGATAATCAGTGAATATAATACAACATATTTTAGTAGAATAAGGGACAAAAATCACAAAATTATCAGAATAGACAGGAAAACATTTGATAAAACTCTTTTTTGATAAAAAAAACATTTTAAAAAACTAGGAACAGAAGAAAAGTTTCTCATCTTGATAAAAAGCATCTAGGAAAACCTAGAGTCAACATCAAATTGTGAAAGACTGAGTACTTTCCCCTTAAAATGGAAAACAAGACAAGGTTGTCCCTTCTTACCACATCTATTCAAGATTGCACTGGAGGTTCCAGCCAGGGTAATTAGGCAGTAAATAGAAATGAAAGTAATCTAGATAGAGAAGAAATAATACTTTTTCCCTAAGAAATCCAAAAAAGAATTATTATAATTAATATGAGTTCATCAACCTAAGAGGATGAAAGATCAACATGCAAAAAATGTCTTTCTGTGTCCTAGAAATAAAAAAAAATCCTAAAATGAAACTAAGAAAACAAACACATTTACAACAGTATCAGAAAGAATAAAATATATAGGGATAAATGTAGCTAAAGAACTGTAAAACTTGGTTACACTGAAAAATACAAAATATTTTGAAAGAAGTGAAAGAATTATTTCAAGGATAATCCTCGGTGTTTGTGGATTGGAAGACACTATTGTTTAAATGGCAACACTCCCTAAATTCATTTACAGATTCCAGTTAATCTCTGTTAATCTCTTACTACAGAAGTACAGTAATCAAGAACAGACTGTTACTACATGATGATAGACTTACGGATCAGTAGAAAAGAATCGGGGTCCAGAAACAAAAGTTGATATTCAACAAAGGTGTAAGATAACTTGGTGGGTAAAGAATAGTTTTTTCAACAAATGGTGCTGGGAGAACTGGCAATCCACATGCAATGAATGAAGTTTATCTCCTCCAAAACAACAAAATTAACTCGAAATGCGTTATAGACCTAAATGTAAGAGCTAAAACTATAGAATTCAAATTAAAGCTTTTGGCCTTTGGGTTAGGCCTTTTCTTCTAAGATGAGATGCTAAAAGCACATGAGACAAAAGAAAAAAATAGATAAAATGAATTTCATAAAAGCTAAATGGTTTTGGTGCTGTGAATGATATCATCAAGAAAGTGGAAGGCAAGGTACAGCATGGGAAAAATATTTGCAAATCATATATCTGTAAGAGATTTACATCTGAAACACTTTAATTTTATATTTTAAAGCTTTCACAAGTCAATTTTAAAAGACAACTCAATTTTAAAAAAATGGAAAATTGATTTGAGTAGGTATTTCTCCAAAGAAAATATATAAATGGCCAATAAGTACATAAAGAGATGCTAAAATGAGTAGCCATTAGGGAAATAAAAACCAACAATATAAGATACAACTTTACAAGCACTAGAATGACTAAAATCTAGAAGATACACAGTAACAAGTGTTGAAGAAGGTATAGAGTATTTGGAACTCTCACATATTGTTTGTGAAGATGGAAAATGGTACATCCACTTTTTAAAAATTTGATTTAAATTCAATTTACTATATACTACATAGTGTAACACCCAGTGCTCATCTCATCGTGTGTGCTCCTCAGTGCCCGTCCCCCAGTCACCCCATCCCCCACCCACTACCCCTCTGCAACAGTTTGGGGTTTTTCCCAGAGTCAGGAGTCTCTCATGGTTTGTCTTCCTCTCTAATTTTTCCCCACTCAGTTTCCCTCCCCCCCCCCTTTATGGTCTTTTTCACTATTTCTTATATTCCCCGTATGAGTGAAACCATATGATAGTTGTCCTTCTCTGATTGACCTATTTCATTCAGCATAATACCCTCCAGTTCCATTCACGTCGATGTAAATGGTGGGTATTCATCCTTTCTGATGGCTCAGTAATATCCCATTGCATATATAAGCCACATCTTCTTTATCCATTCATCTGTTGAAGGTCATCTTGGTTTCTTGCACAGTTTGGCTATTGCGGACATTGCTGCTCTGAACATGGGGATGCAGGTGTCCCGTTGTTTCCATCCCTCTGCATCTTTGGGGTGCAGCCACTTTGGAAAAGAGTTTAACAGTTCCTCAAAATGTTAACTGAATGTTATTATGTGACTCAGCAATTCCCCTCCTAGGCAACTATCAGAGAGAACTGAAAACTTATGTCTGTATCTCTTTTCTCTTTTACTTGCTATTAGCTCTCCTACAATCTGTGCAATGTCTAGTTGTGCTGTTATTAAAATTGTGTGACCCTTACTGAATATCCTTATATATTCATGTTTTCTCCTTTTTAAACTTGAGAGTTGGCTGTGATTTGATAAGACCATGGAGGGATCCCTGGGTGGCGCAGTGGTTTGGCGCCTGCCTTTGGCCCAGGGCGCGATCCTGGAGACCCGGGATCGAATCCCACGTCAGGCTCCCGGTGCATGGAGCCTGCTTCTCCCTCTGCCTGTGTCTCTGCCTCTCTCTCTCTGCATGACTATTGTAAATAAATAAATAAATAAATAAAAATTTAAAAAAAAAAAAAAAAGATTCTCTGATAAGACCATGGAGGGCCAACAAATTTTTCTATAATCAAGGACAGGCTAGTTATTTCATCCTCTGTATTCCCATAGCTCTATATGAACCTTGTATATACAGGCATGTTTCACAGATGCTAACCAGGGGACATGTTCCAACTACTTTCTGAATCCATAATGCCTAGACCCTGATGTGTCTGTATTACTTAGAGTAATTCCAGGGGGAATATAACAAACCATATAACTTCCATAATAAGCCTTGAAGGACATAGGGTGTGATAAGCAAGAAATAGAGAGTAAAGTGTTTCAGAATAGCAAGTTGCTTATATGGTCAGAAGATTGCTAAAACAAGTGATACAGATTTTGTGTGTATATATATATATATATATATATATATATACACATACATATACATATATATATAATTATACAAATACAATATGTGTATATTGTACATATAATGTAATTATATATACAATTATATATATGAATATGTGTGTATATATATACAATTATATATATATATATATAAATTATTCTCTACAAGGGTGCCTCGTGGCTCAGTTGGTTCAACATCTAACTTTTGATTTGAGCTCAGACCATGATCTCAGTGTGGTGAGATCAAGTCCCACACTGGGCTCTCTGCTGGATGAGGATCCTGTTTAAGATTCTCTCCCTCTTCCTTTGTCCCCCCCAACTCTGTAGGTGTGCTATAAATAAATAAATAAATAAATAAATAATAACATTATTCACTAAAAATTTAAAATTAAAATTTCTTTCTTAGTGAGAAAGCAGGAATATAAATTGCTGCAACTACCATGTGATAAACAGTGTAGAGATTCCTCAAAAAATTAAAAATAGAACCACCATATAATTCAGCAATTCCATAACTAGGTATTTTTCAGAAGAAAATGAAAACACTAATTTGAAAAGGTATTCATGTTCATTCTGGTATTATTTACAATGGCCAGAATATGGAAACAATCTAAGTATCCATCAACACATGAATGGATAAAAAATATGTAATATCATCATATATATTTTACTGGTATCATATAGTATAATGGCATATGTGTGTGTGTGTGTGTGTGTGTGTGTTGGGTGAAGTGGGCAAAGGCAGTCAAAATGTATAAATTTGCAGTTATTCATAGTTCATGGGGTTGTAATGTACAGCATAGTCATTATAGTTGGTAGACTGTACTGCATATTTGAAATTTGCTAGGAGAGTGGATCTTGATCCCTTCACAAAAAAAAAATGTAACTATGTTTGGTAACAAATGCTAACTAGGCCTATTCTGGTGAACATTTCAAAAAATACACAAATATCATATCATTACATTATACACCTGAAAAAAAAAACAAAGACAAGTTAGCCTTCTAGTATATATCACCCGAAAATAAGTACCAAGCTACCTAAAAAGCAAGAAAAATTGTTGCTTCATTTTTAGTGGTTGCCTGAAATAAAAGTTATGTGTTCTTTAAGAACAAAATTCAGCAGAAATTTTGCCAATATTCTTTGACTTTTGTCTTTACTTTCATTATTATTTATTTATTCATTCATTCATTTGTTCGTTCATTTATTTTAGAGAGAATGAGAGAGAGAGAGAAGGAGGAGGAGCAGAGAGAGAGGGAGAGAGAGAATCCCAACCAGATTGCCCGCTGAGTGTGGAGCCTGATGCAGGGCTCAATCCCACCACCCTGAGATCATGACCTGACCTGAAATCAAGAGTTGGAGGCCCAACCAACTGAACCACCCAGGTGCCCCATCTTTACATTTTAAAATAATGAGACTTGGTCACATTTCAGAGTTTATGTAAGTAATGTAAATAAATGCTTTATGAAAAGGGGAAAAATGTGATATAAAAAACATGTTCTGAGATGAAAATTTTCAAGTTGAAAAATTTAATGACAGAGGACCCCTGGGTGGCTCAGCAGGTTGGTGGCTGCATTTGGCCCAGGGCCTGATTCTGGAGACACGCAATTGGGTCCCACGTTGGGCTCCCTGCATGGGGCCTTCTTCTCCCTCTGCCTGTGTCTCTGCCTCTCTCTCTCTCTCTTTCCCTCTCTGAGTCTCATGAATAAATAAATAAAATCTTTTTTAAAAATTTAAAAATAAAAATTTAATGACATCTCTTCAAGTTTTCAAATCTCAACTGTGACACCTGGGTGGCTCAGCAGTTGAGCATCTACTTTCAGCTCAGTGCATGACCCCAGGATCAAGTCCCACGTCGGGCTCCTTGTGAGGAGCCTGCTTCTCCCTCTGCCTGTGTCTCTGCCTCTCTCTGTGTGTCTCTCATGAATAAATAAATAAAATCTTGAAAAAAATTCAAATCTCTGGGCTAAAATCAAAGCCAAGTTTCTATAATCTATATTCTAAAAAGTAGAATAATGCCATTTTGAACAAATTATCTGGTTTGAAAATTGAGTTGGCAAAATTCTGAGTAGACGAATTCAAAATGTATACTTTTCTCCCCACTTGTTTATTAGATTAAAATACTATTCTAAACAAGAAGCTGACTTTGAAAGAAGCTGGGCTTTATTTGTGGATTATTTAGCTCCACCAAACTTTCCTACGACCTTAATTAGAACATATGAATTCCAGAAGGAGCTGCCAACACGCATGTTGGTTAGTGGAGATCGAGCCCCCTTCATTAGTGATTTTAGTGGCTTTCAGAACACAGTCCTGTTTGCTTTGAATCTTCTCCACAAAGTGCATAAATATACAGGTAAGAGACGCAGAGGCCTTTTTTCTTTCTTTAAATTCTGTATGTTGTGTTGATTTCAGACCTAATTAAATGCCATTAGAATCATAAATCATTACAACAGACTGTCTAAAGAAGAAAATGTTGACTTCCTAAGATATCTGTTTCAATGTTTTAACAATAATCCTTGTGGATTTATGACTGGTTTCATTTAATGAGCACATATTACAGGCTCTTCCTTGTTTAACATGTCCTCTCCTCGGCGACCCTTCCACAAAGCAGATCAATGCCACCATATGTTAATTTCACAAGGAGACGATGGAAATCTCTATTTCTTTCTTGGACACATTTTGCTATTTTATTTTGTTTTGTTTTTAAATGCAACAGATAATAAACATAATAATGACTCTTCCCATGGCTAGCAGAACCATGAAATAAATTGTTATATGAACTCTCCTCATCCTCATCATCTATAATTATAGACACAAAGACAAAAAATTTGACTCCCCCTCCAAATTCTAGTTTTAAAGAAGATATATTTCTCCAAAATTTCAAAATCCTAGGTTTACTAATAGTGGAAAACATAGAAGAAATTACATAATGGTAAATTTGAAAATTACTATATCATTCAATTTCCCAAATACCATTTATCCTTGTTCTACTGAGGGAAAAAAATTATGTGTGTGTGCGTACATATGTGTGTTTTAATTTAGATTCCTTAAAACAGAATTCAGAAATAAAATATGAGTCAAAATAAAGATGGGTGCATTATATTTTAAATATATTTGAATGTGTATTACTTAGGGTAACACTCACTGTTTTAATAAGCAAATCTTCAACCTTTGAATAAGTTCTTCAAACTGTAATGGCAAGACTCAAATTCTGGCCCCTGTAATTATGTAGGATATTTATTCAATTGGTAAATGGCTTTCCTCATGGTAATTCAGAAACCTAGAATATCTCCGTGTTCGGCTCCAAGCTTCACTACTGCATCCTCCCTCTAAAGTAATTCACAGGAATGAAAGAGCTGAAGGGGACCCTCTTTGGAACGCCTAGACTAGAAGTGACAAACTTAACTATATCTCACATACCTTTGGTAAGAAAAGTCCTCCAGCCTAACTAGATGGGGCATAGGAGGGAATTGGGAAAGTTCATTCCTGCTTGACCCCCCGCTGTTAGGAGAATCCTAAATTACGTTGATTGGCAGTCATCGCTGCCACAATGTCAGACCCAGAAAGTCCAATCCAGGCTCAGATAATACGAACAAACTCTACTGGCCTAGAATGTAGAGTGAGGCGCTGAATGGCTGGTTAGAATTAATTACATTTTAAAGATTGCACACAACAGATCTCTAGATTTCTGTAAGTGCCAGTGTTACTAAAATAGGCTTTGGATTTGTAAAGGAGTTTTGAATTCACTCTATACGCTACAATAAAAAGGGAAAAAAAGAAAACTTGTAGTTAAACTAGCTACCTTGCTTCCTAGCTTCCTCTACTAACTGCTTGCACTCACTGGTACTCAGAATCCAGGAACTGCTCAAAGACTTGGCAGATATTTTTAATTAATTCGAGTATAGAAAAAAAATAGCACACCGTTAATAAAAATAGTTTCACAGTTGAGCACGTTTGATTTATAGTCAGTAAACATAGGTTTGCATAAACTTTTTAGTGTGACATTTGGCTACTTTTTTGACATCAGAAAATTTCAGCTTTTGCTTTACACTGCAAACTGGACTGCGTTTCTGTATATTTTAGCCATTGTGCTCTGCGAGTGATTCCTGACTCTTGAAACTATTGACGTGTAAGCTCCAACTAATTGTCAGCCACCAATTAATTAGGGCCCTCCCTGGAGAGGAATTAACAGTGGGGCAAGAGTCTAGGAATTTTAATAGAAATAGTTGTACATGAAATAAAGCAACGGAAAATAAACATGCTTTTCCTAACAGGGAATCAATAGAGGAAAAGGGGCAGTAGCTTCAGACTCAGGACTTCTGTGTATTTCTTATTTGCTCATTGGCTTATCAACCCCTTCTGATACACTTGTCCTATTGAAAATTCATACCAGTACTAAATACTTTTTCTCCATTTCTTTTTTTTTATTTTTTTATTGGAGTTCAATTTGCCAAAGTATAGCATAACACTCAGTGCTCATCCCGCCAAGTGCCCCCCTCATTGGCCATCACCCAGTCACCACAACCCCCTGCCCCCCTCCCCTTCCACTGCCCCTTGTTCATTTCCGAGGGTTAGGAGTCTCTCACATCCTGTCACCCTCACTGATATTTTCACTCATTTCCTCTCCTTTCCCTTTATTCCCTTTCACTAACTTTTATATTCCTCAAATGAATGAGACCATATAATGTTTGCCCTTTTCCAATTGACTTATTTCACTCAGCATAACACCCTCCAGGTCTATCCATATCGAAGCAAATGGTGGGTATTTGTCGTTTCATTTTTTCTCCATTTCTTAATAATATTTCACTTTGTGGCTATAATTTCGCTTACACTTATTTTAACAATGTGTTCAATATATGCCTCTTGGTAAAAATTAAAACACTACAGAGAGTTATTAAGTACATGTAAAACTTCCCCTCTCTCCATCATCTTTTAACTTCCACACCTTAATTCCTTGCCTGATATATATATAGTTATTTATTATACAAATATATATTAAAATATATATATTAAGTTAGTTATTATATATATTAAAATATATATTAAGTTTTAGGCCTAGTCCTACAAAAAAATTTTATGTGAACAAGTGAGTAAATATAAAATAAATAAATAATTCGATTAAAAACTGTGCTACTTGCATAAAAGATTATATGTATGGCACTGCTCAGTGCTACAAATTGTTCATTAGTCATTTATACTTGAGATATTCACAAGTCAGCAAATATTGATACACATTATTTCTAAATAATATATAACTTTCCATTGAATGGATTGATATTCTTATCAATTTTAGGTAATGTAAAAGTGGCATTCATTGTGTGATTTTTAGTCTAATTTGTTGGGATAGTGACAGATTATATTACTAGGAGTGAATTCATGGATCTGATATTGCCGAGCAGCAATTCACAGTGTGCTATTGATTACATTCTTGTCAAAACAAGAATAAAAGAAACACAAATTATTTATTAAAGTTCATATTTCTGCATAGACACCAAAAATGAATATTAGCAAACTTTCTAATTTTCAAGAGTCTGATATGTGAAAAATAGCACTTCTTTTTGTGGGCTTTCATTGCTTCAGTCACTACTGTATTCATTATTTTCTTTAGTTACTTCTGCATACATGTTTGAATAAGAAGGAAAATTTTAAGACATAATTTTAAAGAGCAAAATATTGTTTTATTAAAGGATGTATATGAAAACAGGCTAATTTCATTGAATTATATTGAATTTTGTTTTATATAATTTTAACACTTAGGATAATAATTAAAATTTTACCTAAAACTCTTCCATATCTTTACTATTTTTCTAGGGACAATATCTTTAACTTTATGGAAAACTTTAATGAAGTCAATGGTTGCAAGGAAACTGTTTCTAGAGATTTTGGAATTCATCCTTCACTCTTTTAATTAAATGCTTCTGGAAATCTGTATAAAATAAAAATCCACAATGATAATTTATGAAGAACAATAATCTCAAAAATTAGTCCTTGCATGTGTGCGTAATTTTGTCATTGTCTATGTCTATATTTAAAAGTTTGAATGTATATATTGCCATTAATTTGCTTAATTAATAATTAGTGAATAAGTATCAATAATTAAAATGTGTACTTTTTAATGCAGATTCAGTTGGGTAACAAACAAATGTTGATAATTTAATAAAGGTCATAAAACCTGATTGAAATTTTGGATGTTCTTCTATCTAAATAAATTTTATGAATTTGGAGGAATAGATTTTCATGGTCCATAGACAGGAGGCAAAAGATTTTAAATAAAATTTGGGTGATGAATTTGGATTTCTAAAGCATTTTAAAATGAACTATTGTTTTAGAATGCATTACCTGATCCATCAATATCTTGGAGGTTTGTTAGTTTTCTCAAAGTTAGAAAAATTATTTTCTGAACATCTCTCTCTCTCTCTCTCTCTTTTTTAGTCCACACCTATCATGAAGGACCTTAGGGTCACAGAGGGCAAAATTTCTCTCTTTCTCTCTCTTTTTTTTTTTTTTTCAAATTTCTCTCCTTTCAGAGGATACAATGTGCACTGACAGGAAGGTGTCACTCCTTCCGCCTTATTCTCTTGGTGACTTCCCTTCCATAACTTTTATGCAACTTGATAGCAGGTTTTACATAGGGCCTCAACCACAAGCAAAACATATCCACTAACAAACTATTTGGAAAAATAAAATGAATAAATTGGGCCAAAAGGTAGATAGTATGGTAAAATAACACGGCACTGATATTAGAAAGACTTGAGGTTACATCTAAGCTCTGTCATTTTCCAGCCAATGTCAACTGGTTAATCCTAAGCAATTTATAAAATTCTCCAGTACCTCAATATACTTGTCAAAAAAAATGAAAATTATGGGGAAAAAAATGAAGGTCCTGCTTTGCTGGGTCTCCAAGCTAGCACTTTAGCAATGACTGCAATCCCACCTAAAGGTAGGGATTTCTAATGATCTAAATACAGGTTGATTACCTGCCTCTCCCACAGGGATAGGAATTTTTTTCCTGTACTTTCTCCCAGCTGAACATGGGAGTCAGACTTGCTGTCTCTCTACCAGCAGATTGAGGATTTTGTACCATCGCGTAGATATGGGGAGAAAGCTCTGAGTAGGGTGTGCCTTTCTTGCTGCTCTCCTGTCCTCCAGGCACACACCAAGATGGAGCTTTTTCAGTTCCTGCCCTGTCCCCAAATTTTAGCAAATACCCAGGAAGATCCATGAAGAACATTCTGTTGCATAGGAAGTGCCTTTAAATCTGAGGCTTCATGGATTCTATCCTCTCCGCAATATTCCCTCCCAAGATCCCTGTTGGATTGGCTGTGGCTTTGTAGGACCTGCACCACAGCTTGACTTGTATCTCTGTCCAATTCTACTTACTTCCCTTCTTCCTTCCAGGTTGTTGATCTCTATAACTATGTTGTGCCCCCAAACTCCACCTCGGCATACAAATCCAGAATTCTTAACTCAAAATACTCTTAGAATTAAAAAAGAATTTAAATTATATTTTTAAAGTTGAAGATTTCCATTTTTCAGTACTGTGGAATGCAAATATCTTTGCCTCCTCTATAACCTAGCAAAACTGAACCCTTCTAGGAATTTGGTTTAATGGAAAATTTTCTGATTCTTCTGACACTAGGATCTACTGAAAATCATACAACTTAGAATAAGAAAGTAATCTGACGAAGGACGTGAAAGTAAACAAAGGAGAAGGTACTTAAGGAAGAAAACAAAATAATGAGTCTTTCTTGCATCAGCAAAACTATTATTAATTAGCAGTTATGGGAAAATCCTTGGACCCTCACTGACACCACAGTGTGTCAGAGAAACAAGGACTTTAAGAAAACACAGTCATGAAATCTTAGCAAATGCAACAGAATTTAGGAGACACTGTTTTGATATGTCACTAGTTCAAGATTGACTGACAAATAAATAAAGAGAACAATAAATGCTGTTGAACAGCAAACTGTAGTTCTAATTATGGCAACTTTGGGGGGAAAGGAATGAATAATATGTTTTCCCTTATCTGGAATGATTTATGATTTAATGAAGAAGGAAGATTAGTTAGACTATAGTTTGTATTTTTTAAAAACTTTATGCATCAAAAATTTTATTTCATTTAATACACACAAAAATTATTCATTCCAAAAAATACTTATTTGTGCCTGCTACACAAGAGTCACCGTCCTTGACCATACTTATATAGGAACAGAAAAAGTAGAAATTTGTGACCCCATGGAGGTTGTATTCTCAGTTGTGAATTGGATGATAAGCAAACCTCATAGCCTTAGTAAATATTAGTGCAAAGAAAAAATAATAGCTTAGAGAAAGTGATAAGGAGTGCTAAAATGCATCAAGCATCTTAAATTTAAAAAGATTCATCAGTGAGCTCTTGCTAAGGAGGAGGTAGTTCAACAAAGATGAAGGCAAAGGGGAATGAGCCTTGAGGATACCTGGTGTAAGACCATCCCAGATCATGAGGAAGAGCAAGCACAAAGGTTGGAAGTTGGAAGCAGGCCTGGTATTTTTGGAAGAGCAGAAAAAGGCCATTAAGGTAAAAAGAAGTAGAAGGTATAGTTAGGGCAATATTGCATTTGGGAGGCCAAGGGCTAGGACTCAGATATAAGGGCAAATAATATAGGTTCTTGTAGTTCATTGTAAGGATTATTATTAAAAAAAAAAAAACCTTGCAATGGAATAGAGAACAAAAAGAAAGCTTTTGAGTAGATGAATGACCAAACTAGCTTCTCTGGTTAAAACTAGACTATAGAAGTAATGAGAAAACAGTAAGGAGGCTAGTGAGATCATCCAGAGGAAATATGCTGTAATCTTGGATCGTACAGCAAAGGTAATAAGTGATCATATTTTGAATATATTATGAATACAGAGCCAACATGATATGTTATTAATAGATTAGGTGTGGAGTATAAAAGGAAAAAAGTTGTTATAAATGATTCCCTTCCCTTCTCTTTTTTTCCTGAACAATTCAGTGAAAAATTAACTAGAGAAGCAAGGCAAGATGGGAACTGGGCACAGAAGAAGAGGAGTCATTACCTCAGCCTGAAGGTCAGAAGCCCAAGCGAAGTGATGAAAGTGTGCTCACAAAGAGGAGTCTTAATGTGCAAAGAGTCTAAGCCTGGATAGAATGGTGTTCCCAGAGATGAGAGGCCCACCATCAACAGCCTGAGTTCAAATTGTGTGAGGAGGGAATTCGCTGACAGAGGCCACCTGGCATGGGATATTGAAGCCCATATAGGGTGAAGAGGGCATCCATCCATGTAAAGTACAATGTTGCAGCATTGATGACAGATTGACTCCTGCACAGAAAAATTAAGTACACACATATTTAAGGTTAATGGAAGTGAGTTTTTCACTATTAGAGAAGGACATTACAAATATGAAAAGTATGACAACTAAAATAACCCCTATGCTGTTGGATTAGAATTGGAGGTATTGGAGTGAACTCATGATTTTCGATATAGGTGGATTAGATGAAACATACGAGATTGTGAGTAGAGGCATCACCAAAATGATGAACACATCTACCACTCAGATCTTGACTTCAAAATGCCATTTTCCAATAAATGGAAGAGGATGCCTTAGAAAAACAGCTGGTTATATATGAGATAGGTAAGGGAAGAGATAAGCTTAGAAGGTCTTGTTATTCCAGAAAACAAAAGTGTTCTAATGGATGGATATACTGTCAACAGAGGCTTCTACTGGCCAATACTAAGACAATGAAACATTAAAATCAATCATACAGTATTAAAACCCATTGAATAAAATAACAAAACAAGAATATATAGGGATATAAATAAATGAATGAATACATTTAAACAAGATATTTAGGTAGGTTCAAAACACCTTCCAAATACATATCTATAAAATCAAATGTGTACCTACAACGTAAACTTACACAATCTTATATATGTATATATAATACGTATGTATAACATACAGCATATAAAAATATTCATATATACTATATTCACATATTAAGTGAAAGAAGTGTAACAATATGAAACATACACAATAACAAATAATAAAATAAAACATTAATAAGCATATAAATATATGATAAATAGAAAGAGTGTGATTTCATTGGAGAAACCTGGCAGACACAACCTTAAACAAGTGAACATCATCAGTAATGAGACAAATTAAAACTGTATTCTCTTACCTGATGCATTGAAAGAACACAGTACAAATTAGGTGATATTTCTGCCAAAGATGCATAACCTAAATTTAATTATGAGCAAACATCAGATATTCCAAGTTGTGGAATATTTTACCAAATAGCTGGCCTATCATTTGGTGAAATGGTTTTGGAAATGGAGAAAAAGCAGAGAATTTAAGTGGGAGAAAAAGTTAATTGTCTCAATTGACTATAATGGGCACAGGAAAGTGACATTTCATAGACATTTGCTTTAGAGAAGTGGAAAGTGTTGGGTTCAATGAGGAAGAAATTGGCAAGTTAGAGCTTATTTAGGAAAGATGATGACACTGTTGAGTATGGAGGTAGGAGGAGAACTGTAGTTTATAGACAATTTTTATTTTATTTTTTATTCTTTTTAAGATTTTATTTATTTATTCATGAGAGATACAGAGAAAGAGGCAGAGACACAGGCAGAGGGAGAAGCAGGCTCCATGTGGGGAGCCTGATGTGAGACCCGATCCCAGCACTCCGGGATCACGCCATGAGCCAAAGGCAAACGCTCAACTGCTGAGCACCCCAATATAGACAATTTTTAAAAATTATTTTGGAACCACAGTTATTTATTGCAATGATTTAGAGAGGGATGAATGAACACAAAAACTTTATAGTTACACAAAATTCACAATCTCTTTGTAGCTGTGATTGCATTATTTGATACACCAAATTTAACCAATAGATTTAAGCAAACTTTGCAGAAAAAAGAAAGAAAGAAAAAAGAAAAAGAAAGAAAGACCATATGAGTGTGTCCCGTAGGCCTAATCTCATGTACTTTTTGTTTGTTTGTTTCCTATGAATTGATCGATTATCAGTTCAATTCAGGACATCAAGAGATTCAAAACCCTTCAGAAAGACTGTGTTCCTCATACCTGGGAATCAGTTAAGCAGGAAGTGGCATGTGGGTCATGATCCCTGTCAATTCTCTGTGTCGTGCAGAATATCTTCCTTATATCCAAAAATTATTTCATATAGATGTGTGTAGTTGTGTATTTTAGTACCTCGTGTATTTACATTTTTGGCAGGAAGCAAGGTGCCTCTGGATCAGAAAACAGACATTCGTTACTCATAGAACATCTTGGTGCCAGAGCCTCATGCCTTAATTTCCATGGGGTGTTGCAATGAGGGCCAGGTGTTCACCTCAGCGCGCAATGAGGTTGCACCACAGGAGAGGAATGTTGAAATTCTCAGATTTGGAACTGAGAGAGAGCAGCTGGTCCATCAGCCTGATGTTCTCTATGCTCACGCATGCAACTGGGAGAAAGAGAAGCCCCGCCTTTACATTGAAGGGAAGGCAGAGGGTGAGGTGAAAGAAGAAAGAAGGTAAAAGTCTTCTACTACATACTCAAATTCCTTGCATTCATTAAAGATTAATTTTTTTACAGTAATCCTTTGTTCAGCATCTCGATGTGCCTCCGTTGCTACCTTGAACATCTGGAAGAGCCTGTTGGGTCCTCAGACTTGTGCAACCAGAATGGCAGGAGAGTCATTACCCATCGCACCACCCCCATGTTAAAAAGATCTTAATGTGAGACAAGAATCCATCAAAATCCTAGAGAACACAGACTACACCCTTTTTAAACTTGGCCGCAACTTCTTACAACATACATCTACGAAGGCAAGGGGAAAATGAACTATTGGGACTTAATCAAGATAAAAAGGAGTGGTACCTGTCATGCTGGTAGGAGAACCATGGGGCAGAAGGACAAAGAAAGGAGAAAAGATACTCATCTTAACAACATGTGTATAGGGTAACATTCACATTTGGAGACTTCTGGTTAATCTCTATCATCTTTCCCACTGACATCATTTCCTATAAGTCACAGGGTTAGAAGATTCATAACGCTTTGCATTTGCTGTCTCTTGGAAGACAGCTTTCAGATCAGACAATGGAAGAGTTCATTTTCTTGTCATGCCTGTGAGCTGCATTTGGCTTGAAGCCATTATAACCGTCTATAGCGGAGACTCAACTGTTCATCCTGTTTCTGATGGCTGTCAAGGATGGGCGAGATTATTAGGCCAAGAAGTTGTCAGCATCAAGCTCTTGACTGACAGAAAGTCATGATGGTTTATAGAAAAAAAAGGGGGGTATAAAATATTGTCTTCATTTATGGCCTTTCTCACCGATATGCAAAACCAAATCTCAAAATAAAATAGCTTTGCTAATAGCAGCTCTCAAAGTCTGGTGAGATCAGCATTCAATTTTTGAATAAGAAGTCAGTAATGAATTCAGCACTTTCTCCAAGAAGGGTAAGTCATGTCGGTCAGGAAGTCTCTGAGCATCGTAGGTCTGCTGATCCTATAGAAGGTCTTGAAAGGGCAGAGCTAGAAGACTGGTCAATTTCCACACTAGCAGACTGTCTTCAGAGTTCACCCCACTTTGAAGCATGTGACAGGATTTCACTTCTTTTTAAGGCTGAATCATACCGCATGGTATGTACCATATTTGTTGAGTCCACCTCTCCACGGATGAACATTTATCGCTCCTTTCTCCTTTTGGCTACTGTGAATAATGCTACTACGAACGTGCATGTACAAGTCTCTATTCAAATTCCTGCTTTCAGTTCTTTTGAGCATATCCCCAGAAGCAGAATTTCTGGATTCTATTGTAATTGTATAGCTTATTCAAGTTTAAATTTTAAGAATGATATTTCTCTGTTATTGGCACTGTGGTGCAATGCGGTCCTGGGGACCTAGAGCAGCAGTGACAGCAAAGAGGGCGGCGGGACCACCTAGGGAGGGCATCACACTCATTCGCAGTTGGTGTCTGTGTGATCTAGCCCACATATTACTTCTTCCTCTGATTGGTTTTTGTCTTAGAAATTATATTATATATACTTATATTCTATGCTATATATGATTCTTATTCCCTAAAGAAAAAATCCAAAATGAAATCCAAAATTAAGAGATACACCAAAAGGGATGTAAAAGCATTTGTGTGTTACATTAAAAAACATTGTGTCTGTAATACTTAAGGTAACACTTGTTGCTTTAATAAATAACCCTCTAAATTTTAACGGCTTACTTCAATGGAATTCCAGTTCTGGTTCAAATAATGTTTCAAGGATGTTTACCCAATGTCAGGAGGTTTTCTTCCATGGTGAGTGATTCTGGTACCCAGGGCATTTCAGCAGAATTTGCCTGATATGAAAGAACAGCATCAACCACCTCATCTTAAATGCCTAGAACCAGAAGTGACCAGTTGGTTTATACATGCATATGATATACACTTTATACATATACACACCCATATATACTCAAATATTATTTTCCTTAAAATCAAATTGAAAAGTAGAAGATGAACCAAAGTAAAAATAAAAATATTGTATAGAACTATTCATATGACACCACCTAATTGCTTAGGTGGGTGATGGGAGCTGGGGAGGTTGGTTTTTGTCTGTTTACCACTGACAAGAGAGGCACGAAATTTGGTGATTTGCTGGTCATCTCTTGATTTTTATAATCTCCAAATTTATTAAATTTAGCATTGGAATTGATAAGAGACTTGAGTTGCAGAATTGAGTAAGTTGGAATTGAGTAAACTTCAATTGTTATCCACCGACAGATATGTTGATCCACATTCAGGGAGAGAAATGAGGCGTGAGGAAAGGGTTCAGGGCTATTTATGGAAATATTATCCTACAGAAAAAAAAAACAATAGTAAATAAACATTACTTCCACCAAGAGGGAAAAAAAGAGAAGTAGGCCTACGTCTTGTATCCTGCAGAACTATTATTTCTTGCAATTAACTATCCTGACATGTCTCTTCTGCTCAAAATCACTTTATACACTACACACTTTTTTAAAAAAATTTCTCCAAAGTACCTAATTTACAAGAGTGGTAATTTTTTACTATTTATTTTAGAGTATATTGAATGCTTTTTATTTTTAAAATTAAAAGTCTAGAGAAAGTTATTAAATGAAATGAAATTTACCCTTTCTAACACCATCTTTTGACCTACATGGCTTGGTTCTTCACATAATACCTTTCAACAAAATTTGGCGCTCCCTTTTGCAAATAAAATTAAATACACACAAGTGAGTACACAATGATTTTAAACCAAAAAAAGCCTTTTATGTTTGCAAAAATGGGATTATGTTCTTCATATTGCTCTGTATTGACATACATCATTCTCTTAAAAGAACATATAGCTTCTCATCAAATGGATTTCCATTATTTCCAGTTCCATACTCTTGCAGACAATGCAGAAGTGACTTTCAATGTAATTGAAATGTAAATTTTATCAGCTTTATTTGAGGAACTATTAATAGAGTCAATTAGTGAGAAAAGGATTGATGGCTTGGGTTTTGACAAATAGAAATTGAAATAGAAATTGAAAAAAGAGGGTATTTTTTTTCCAGCTACAAATGAAATGTTTATTAAGATTGTTGTTTCCCCATAGCCATTGACAATAAGTATCAGTAAATTTCTAAATTTTTATTGGTTTGCTACGTGAGAGATGGCATCTCAATGTTTTATGGATTTTCATTTCTTTAATTGTGATTGTATATATATATATATATATATATACAGCATTATTCATGTTACCTATTTATGTTGCTGATAAGTTGAATATTGAAGCAGAAAACTTAATTTTAAACATCAATATTTAGTTTTTATTTTTAAAAGTGCATGAACTTATAATAATTTTCCACTAATTAAATTAGTACAACTGAATTTTGTTTTCAAACTTTTAACATTTGAAGAGGAAAATTAAATTTGACTTGTAACTTTTTAACATCTTTACTATCTTTTTTGGAGCATTGTCTTTGGCTATATAGAAACTTTAATGAGCTTCCATGTTTTGCAAGAAAACTTTTTATAAACATTTTGAAATTTATTTGTCCTCCCTTTAATTGTTTCTGATAATGTGTAATAAAATAAAAATCTGTGAAAAATAAAATAAAAATCCAAAGTGACTTTGAGCAATACTTTTATAAATTAGTCTTTGATTTTTTTAAAATTTTATTATTGTCTGAATTTCGATTTGAAAAATGCTCAGTGTCACTAATCATCAGGGAAATGGAAATTAAAACCATAATGAGATATCTTACTCCTGTCAAGATGGTTATTAACCAAACCAACCAACCAACAAACAAAAAAGATAACAAGGACAGGCAAGGATTTGGAGAAATTGGAACCCTCATACGCGTAGTGGGAATGCAACCTGGGAGGTCACTATGGAAAACGGTATGGACATTCCTCAAAATATTAAAAATAGAACTGTCATGTTTGGGGCACGTGGGTGGCTCAGTCTGTTAAGCATCTGCCTTCGGCTCAGGTCATGGTCCATGGTCCTGAGATCAAGCCCCACATCAGGCTCCCTGCTTAGCGGAAATTTTGCTTCTCCCTCTCCTTCTGCCCCTCCCTGCCATCATGCTCTCTCTCTCTCGCTTGCTCTCTCTCAAATAAATAAAATCTTAAAAAAAAAACCTGCTCTTTTACCCAGAAATCCCACTTCTAGGCATGAAATTTATAGAAAAGAATTGAAATCAGAATTTCAAGAGATATTAGCACTTTCATAGTCATTACAGCACCATTCACAGTAGTCAAGATATGAAAAGAAGCTAAGTACCCATCGAAAAATGAATGGATAAATAAAATGTCGCACTTGTGGACATTATGCTAAGTGAAATAAGCTAGTCACAGAAAGACAAACACTGAATGACTTCACTTTTACAAGGTAACTAAAATTGTCAAATTCATAGAATCAAAGAGTGAAGTGATGGCTGTCAGTGGCTGAGTGGAAGGAGGGATGCGGAGTTGCTAATTACAGTAGAGTTCTAGAACTAGAACTAATGATAATGATACTGTATTGTATATTTGAAAGTTGCTAAGGGAGTAAATCTTAAAAGTTCTCATGATAAGAAAAGAAAATATTTGGTAATTCTATGTCTGGTGATGGATGTTAGCTAGATGTATTGTGATCATTTCATAATAAATGCAAACATTGAATCATGTTGTATGCATGAAACTAGTATGTTATTGGAAAATATACCTCGATTTATTAAGAAAGAATTTTGAGTCAGCTGAAGAAGAAGTTCTTTCTATTGTCTTTCAGAACATAGATTTTTTTCACTTCCTCTCTGATTTTCTGGCCAAATAGGTAAGCCCCAGTCCCTGTCATTTCCACAAGGATCAGGAGAGGAGGCTCATTCTATAGTCCAACCTTGACAATCAGTATCTGAAACTGGCTGTTATGAAACATGGCCTAGACTGTGTATCATTTCCCCCAAGGAATCTTATCATTTGGGTTTGACATAATAAAATTCTTTTCCTCAAATTGGACATCCATATGCAGAAAAATGAAACTCTTGCACCTTACACAAAGATAAACTTAAAATGGATGAAAGATCTAAATGTGAGACAAGATTCCATCAAAATCCTAGAGAAGAACACAGGCAACACCCTTTTTGAACTTGGCCACAGCAACTTCTTGCAAGATACATCCACAAATGCAAAAGAAACAAAAGCAAAAATGAACTATTGGGACTTCATCAAAATAAGAAGCTTTTGCACAGTGAAAGAAACAGTCAACAAAACTAAAAGACAACCTACAGAATGGGAGAAGATATTTGCAAATGACGAATCAGATAAAGGGCTAGTTTCCAAGATCTATAAAGAACTTCTTAAACTCAACACCAAAGAAACAAACAATCCAATCATGAAATGGGCAAAAGACATGAAGAGAAATCTCACAGAGGAAGACATAGACATGGCCAACATGCACATGAGAAAATGCTCTGCATCATTGGACATCAGGGAAATACAAATCAAAACCACAATGAGATCCCACCTCACACCAGTGAGAATGGGGAAAATTAAAAGGACAGGAAACAAAAAAATGTTGGAGAGGATGTGGAGAAAGGGGAACCCTCCTGCACTGTTGGTGGGAATGTGAACTGGTGCAGCCACTCTGGAAAACTGTGTGGAGGTTCCTCAAAGAGTTAAAAATAGATCTGCCCTATGACCCAGCAATTGCACTGCTGGGGATTTACCCCAAAGATACAGATGCAGTGAAATTCTGGGACACCTGCACCCCAATGTTCATAGCAGCAATGTCCACAATAGCCAAACTGTGGAAGGAGCCTTGGTGTCCATTGAAAGATGAATGGATAAAGAAGATGTGGTCTATGTATACAATGGAACATTCTTCAGCCATTAGAAACGGCAAATACCCACCATTTGCTTCGACGTGGATGGAACTGGAGGGTATTATGCTGAGTGAAATAAGTCAATCGGAGAAAGACAAACATTTTATGGTCTCATTCATTTGGGGAATATAAAAAATAGTGAAAGGGAATAAAGGGGAAAGGAGAAGAAATGTGTGGGAAATATCAGAAAGGGAGACAGAGAATGGAAGACTCCTGACTCTGGGAAACGAACTAGGGGTGGGGAAGGGGAGGTGGGCGGGGGGTGGGGGTGACTGGGTGATGGGCACTGAGGGGGGCACTTGATGGGATGAGCACTGGATGTTATTTTATATGTTGGCAAATTGAACACCAATAAAAAATAAATTTATAAAAAACAATTCCCTTCCTCTGCACGTATGGGTTTCTATTTCAACTTTTAATCGCTGGGTGGAGATTTTCTCTTCTTTCATCTAGAAGAGAAAAATAAAACACATATATCGGTCTGGGATTAAATTTCCCAGCAATCTAGGAAACTTTGAATTGAAAGCTACCCTGGCTGTCTTACTGCCTCTCCCAACAGCAAATGGACCATGATAATAAGTCATAAAGGAATAAAGTAGTCACCTTGAGATGTGTGAGAATTTTAAACTTTAAAGCAGCAAATGACATGAAATAAAGTCCTAAGCACTCATTTCATATCCTAAGAAACTGAGGTTGAGTCCAGAGACATATTTGATTTGTCCAAAGTCACATATCGAGTCAGGCCTAGAACCCAGATAT